CAAACAAAAAAAAAAAAGTCCTTAATCCCTCCAAATCCCATCATGCTTGCTCATACACCGTATACCGTATATAAGCCCGGCAGAAACAATCCCGAACCCAAGCTCTCTCTTCCATCCCTGCTTCCTCCATAGAAAAAGAAAAAAAAAAAGTAAAAAGAAAAAAAAAGAAAGAAAAAAAAAAGAAAAGAAACCCCCTCACCACCCCCCGCCCCCCCAATTTACAACTTAAAAATATAGTTTCTTGTATATATTAAACCACCGTCCTCGAAATTATTAGAATTAGATAAAGACCGGCTAATTTTACTTTCTTTCTAAAAGTATTGATAATTGACCCTTATCAGTTTATGAGTTTGAGGACGGAAAAAAAAAAAGGGTTGATTTTATGCATCGGTGGTTGGTTGGTTACTTACGTAGTAGTAGTACTGTACCCTGTACCTACTACTGTAGCTAATAAATAAATAGATGAGGAGGAGAGAGCCGAAAAAGTCGAGGGGCAAAAACAGGTAGAAGAAGAAGAAGAAGAAGAAGAAGAAAAAAAAGAGGTAAGGTAAAGTACATAAAACTGCTGCTGCCAGCTAGCATCCGGAGATGTAGGTAGTAGGTGTATCCATCCCATCCCCCGCGCCGAACGCCAGGTCGTCATAAATCCATGTCCCATCCATCATCCTTACCGCTCAGCATTAACCCCGCTACTTGCAGCGCGTGATTATTCCCCCCACCCCCCCCTCACAGCTTCCCCTAGCATTAATTACGCAAGTATCGGAATTCTTTCTGCCCTGCCCATTATCTTCTAGTTTTTTTCCCCCCTCTCTCTGGGTTGTTCGGTGTGTGAATTGATGCGTGAGAGTCGTTCGTTTACTTCGTCTTCTTCATATCGTCTTCCGGATCATAACTCCGGTCGTCCTCGCCCTCGACCTCCTTGACCACCTTCTCCATCTCCAGTGCCTGGCGACTCCACTCCGCAGCCGTCATCTTCGTCTCGCGCTTGAACAGCTCCTCGTTCGGCTTCCGGTAGCTCCCTCCCAGCCGATCCCACAGCGTCGTGTACTGCCCGTAGTTGTAGTTGAAGTACAGATGGTGCATCGTGTGGCACGCGGCACCGTTCAGGATGGCGGAGTTGGCAACGTACTCGCCGTCGTGGATGAAGACGGTCCAGACCTGGACGAAGAAGAAGAGGGCCAGGTAGGCGAACTTCTGGAGGGGGAACACGAAAGGGAAGATGTGGTAAGGGAGCGATTGCGCCCAGCCGTCGACGGGGTGGAAGGCGATACTGGCGTACGGCGTCGGCATGATCCACTTGTGGTGCGGCTTGTGCAGGGTCTTGTAGCAGAGCGGGTGGTGCAGGCCGCGGTGGATGAAGTAGACGAACATGTCGGTGAAGAGGATGAAGAAGGGGAACTGCAGCAGGTTGTAGAAGCGGAAGGGCTCGTCACCCAGGAGGTCGTAGAGCTGGGAATGGCCGCGGACTTCGGCGAGGAAGAAGGGCATGGTGAGGAGCGACATGACGGGCATGGCATCGGTGGCCTGCTTGATCTCTTGGCGGATCTGGTTCTTGAGGAACTTGGGGTGGTTGAAGGTGGATTTGTCGAAGACGAAGATGTAGGAGAGGGAGGAGACGATGAAGTACAGGGCTGCGCCGGCGATCCTAGGAAGAAGGGGAGACGAGGTTAGCAGGTGGTCGAATTGGCCGAATTGGCCGAATTGGTCGAATGAAAAAATTGAAGGGAGAAGCAAGGGAGAAGTGAAGGGAGCGTAAATACCACATGATGAGGAAGAGAGAGAGGGCCTGTCGGAAGATATTGTCTCGAGGGACCTGGCTCAAATATGCGGCATCTCGCGGGGAGAAGGAGAGCAAAGTGCTGGCGGGCTGGAACTGCCATTGTGATGCCGCTTTGATGTCCGGGAGCGTCCAATTGCCAGCGCCGCTGATGGGACTGAAGGTCGCAGGCTTCAGAGGAGCGACAGCAGCATAGATATTATCAAAGAGAAAAGTATCCCAGAACTCAAGTGCGATGTCCATCGTGGCGGTCGTGGCGGTGGTGGCGGGTGGTGGTCGCAGCTTATTTTGAGTTTTCAAAATAAGAAGACGGGACGGGGGGAGACGAGAGGTTATTTTCGAAGTATATCTGGTGAGTCCCGTACTTTCGGGTAGCTGGGCGTCCACTGTCAGTACTGTATAAGTTGGGAGAGTAAGTGAGGCTCGGCGGGAAGACAAACAGCTCGCGAACGAATTTGTATCCGGCTTAGATTAGGTACAAGTAGTGCGACGAGTGAGGCGAATATTGACGTTGTCGATGTGGATATTATTGTTGACGTTGACGTACACATTCCAATCCCAAAGACGGACGGCGACGGGAAGAGACCGGACCCGGAAATCCTTGGTACAAGAATCATTTGATCACTCTCATCATTTATCCATCGATGAATCAGGTCATCAAGCAAGCAACTAAGCAACTAAGCAAGCAAGCAACCAACCAACCAACGATCCATCGATCGCCTCCTATCCGTCGAGCCATTTCCACTATTTCCAGCATGTCCAGCATTTTCTGTGCACATTTGTCGGGCCAGGCGTTGGGACCTGCGCTAGAGGGAGCTAGTAGGCTAGTCGGGGTGGGCATGAGCGAATGAGCGGCGAGAGCAGGCCTTTTTTACAGTGGGTCTCGCTTTTTAAGGTGGGGCTGGGCGGTGGTGGGTGGCAGAAGGTGAACGTTCGTGCGGCCCGCCTTGTCCCGACCGAACACCGAGAGATGATCGGCGAGGAGGGAGCGAGGTATGGATAGATGGATACCGGTAGAAGGATAGAAAGATGAAGATGAAGATGAAGATGAAGATGGATGTCAAGATGGAGATGGAGATGGATATAAATATAAATATAAACACCACCCGAAAATTGTACAGATACATATACATATGCATATCGACATAGATATACAGGTGCAGTCGGAAACGAAATACGTACCCGTAGTATGGTGGTAATTGCCTGGGCCCTTGTCTAATCTGATCTGATCCCGGGCGCGGCGGAAAGGGAGTAAACAAACAGTACCTAGGTACCTTACGCAATGATGCAGCCCGTCGGGTCGGAGATAAGCACCCCCCAAACCCCTATCGATTATTTTCCCTATTCTTCGGTCATCATCGTCTTCGTCCTGTTCCACTCATCAACGCACATCATCCGGTCCCTACACCACACACACACCTGACACGGCGGCCGTGGCGGGCCATGCGGCTATGCGGCGATGCTATAGAGCGAAAGTTGCCTCTTCCGAGTCATGCGAGCATATCAGGTGATGTTACTCAATCAGACGGTGATGCTTACCTGCATCCAGAGCAGCTGCCAGCGCGTCGGATGCTGGATGCTGGATGCCGGATGCCGGATGCCGAGGATGTTGTTTTCTTTTCCCGTCGGCTCGTCTTTTCTCCGTATCGCTCTCTCTTTTCTTTCCTGTCTTTCTTTTTCCTGCCTTTGTTTCTCCTTGCCGAAGATAGTTGCAGATGGATACTCCGTAAGCGTCGGTTCTACTCCCCCCCACATGAGCCCTGCACTACCCACAACCCCCTACCGTGGTAGTCGGCGCATTTGAATCATCGTTTGGGAATGATTTGTCGCTTACGTAATCCCAATATCTGATTCTATCTTTTAGCGTGAAAACACGATTACAAGTACTTGCATTCTTATTTAGAACGCTGAGAATCGTAACCAGCTAAGGAAATTTCATTTAGTATGACATGATTATATAAAAATCAATAGTAAAACATAATATCCTCCTTTCATATCAGACCTACTTCGAGGAAAAAGCCAAAAGACAGTGGAGTTTCGGAACGCAATTGTATTCATATTCCAACCTCGTCGGCGCCCTTTGTCATGGCTAGTAAAGATTAGTGTAGTTATACTCCCCAACGTACGCTACATAGTGTCAAAGAAAAGACGAGGAAAGGAAGAACATAATATAGTACATGGCCGAGGTACCTATACCTATGCATCTGCGGGAGCAGTGTGTCATGTGACCTCAGCTGACTAATCCAAACCCAACCAGAAGCCCTAGAACCTTCCATGACCGTAACACCCTTTGAATAACCTTCCATTATAACAACAACTAAATAACTTAATAATTACAGATACCATAATATAGAGGCAAGTAGGGGTCATTTCAGCGGTCCTCTGACCCTCTTCTATCAAAGACGGTTGTTAGATTGCTTAAATTCAGTTCAAAAACAGCTTAGCTAATAGACCGTCCTATAGCCGTCCTACAGCCGTCCCCGTCTAATTCTTTAGAGCGGGTTGAGCTCGCTTGAAGATTCACAAGCGATCTATTGATCGCTCATATTTTGCGATTGATTCAAAATTTAAATACGAATTCTGTTTGAGAATATAGCTCATTAAGCGAGATCTCTGCCAAGATATATCTTCGGTATCGCACTTTACGAACGTCAACGCTGTCGTCGATTATACGTAGTATATTAAAATCGATCGATTTAGCAAAGTTCGTCTGATAAGTGATAGGGTCTCCCGCGTCCTGTCCATGTTGGGGTGGGGGTCTACCGAAAGGCGGGAATAAGGGGGCAGCAGAAGAGCATATATTAATCATTTGCTTACTAACATAAGTTCTCGCGGACAGTTTTCAGTTCGGGGACGGTCTTGGGACGGCCTTAAAAACTGTCTCAAAACGCCCGGAAACGGTCTCAAGATAGTCTTTTCGTAAGAACACCGACGTTTATCAATAACGATCTCATCGATTGAAACGGTCTTATTTTAATGCCACTCTTGTAACCAAAAGACGAGCTCTTACAAGCGACGATTCAATTGATTGAAATGTGTCTATTTTAAGTATAATTCCAATGATTTACGTAGTAAATAGTTTGTTTTCCGAATCTACGGAGTACTCGATCTCAGGTATCGGCCGGGGGTGATCCACTACCCTAGCCATGTCAACCTTTTACTCCGTAGGACCGTCTCCAAAAGAGATCGTCATCGGATAATCAGCTGATTGTCCAAAGGCCTTAAGTAGCTTCCCCTTTCAAGGTATTGCACGGATTAAATACTTGCTTAAAGATACTTTTCAAGGCTGAATCCCTAGAAGTTGATTGGTTGAAGCCCTGATAAGATCCCCTGCAAAATTATACTTTTGTCTTTTATTGACTCCGTAAGGGGATAAAAACGACAATATCATACCGGTGTTTGCACCAGCTACCACTTGGGGGGGGCTGGAATTGTGATAGGGCGTGAGTGGGGGCGCCGGACAACCGGCGATTACTCCGTAGCAATATCCTTGTTAGATGCTGAATTGAGACAGAGAAAGAGAAAGAGAAAATGAAAAAGAAGAAAGTATGCCAAGGAAAGACGAAAGAAAAAAACAGGCAAGCGAGGGTGGCTCTAATAATTGAAGCGAAAGCCACGCGTCTGACTGATAAATTCACCCGGGCGAGGCTAGAGAGAAGTGTCCAGTTAGGTATCTATCGTTGCTGTCACGTTACTCTGCAATGGTCAGTGCGCCTTGGCATGGGTAAGGTGAGTTAAAGGAGAAGGGGACTTTAGTTCGTGCGGGTAGAGAGGTGGAGAGCCTCACTTTCCATATACCACACGAGACCTTCAAAGTCAAAGGAATCACTACAGACCAGCTCTTGAATTCCATCATCCATCAGCCATCTCTCATCCTGTCATCTCCCATTCTCTGCCCGACCGACATCAAAACCCTTAATTTCAACTCACCCTCGACATCACTTATACTCCTTGCCCCCGACCACCACTCGCGTCTAATCGTCGCCTTCATCAAACCCCTCTAGTGACCGCGCCCTCATCATCCATCAATCTCCTCCTCTGCGGATCCTGCGGATTGCGATCGCACCCCTTGAGCTGGTCGCAATATTCTTCTTGATTAGGATCCGCCCGTCTGTGTATTAACCCCAACCCCCCCAGTTTGCGGCTCTCGAAACTCCACCGCGATCGCGACCGCGACGACCCAACTATCATGTCAATGTACAACCCCCATCGCGGTCTGGGACCTGCGCCTGGCGGACCTGGAGCCCAGAATGCTCGGCTGAATGAGCTTCTGGACGGCGTGCGAGCCGAGTTCGAGACCCAGGCGCGCTCCAGCCAGGAGTTCGAACACGCAAGTAAGTGATCAATCAGTCCGAAGCCTCCAGCGGCATCGCAGGGCTTGCACGCACACTCGGGCTAACCGCCTATCCCCAGTGTCGGCACAGATCAACGAGCTTCATACGATCAGAGAAAAGGTCTATGCGATGGAACAGGCCCACATCGCGATCAAGCAAAAGTAAGAGAGGCACCCAACAATCCTGTCAGGTGGGATATGCTGACCCGGCCAGCTACGATGAAGAGATCAAGCGTCTGCATCGCGAACTTGAGGCCCGAGGAGGCAACCCCCGCGCCCTGGGTGGTCCTCCCCAGAACCCGTCTTCGCAAGCACCACCCCCAGCCATCGGCCATGGTCCCAGCAACCTTTTTGGTGGTATAATGGCCGGGCAGGGAGGACAAGGAGCACCCGGTCTGGCGCCTCCTCAACAACAGCAGCAACAGCAGCAGCAGCAACAACAACAACAACAGCAGCAGCAGCAGCAGCAGCAGCAACAACAACAGCAGCAGCAGCAACAGCAGCAGCAACAGCCAGATCAACACGGTCCTCCGCAGCATCAGATGCCCCAACCTCCCGGACCGCCAAGCCTCCAGGGTCCTCCTCCACCTCCACCACAACAGGCCCCTTTCCAGGGCGGGTATCCGGGCATTGGACCCAATGGTTACACTCAACCTCCTCCCAACACCGCCTCGCCCGGTGCCGGTAAAGGCAGACCCTTGAACCGGGGCCCAGGTGGACCAGCGACGCCCCAATTGAACCAGCCCATGCCATACCCAGACCCGAGATCTGTCGCGTCGCCTCAAGTTGGCCACCCAGTGCCAAACCAGCATGGGGCGCAGTTCCGAGTCGGGAATGCCCTCGCTGAGCTCGATCTCGAGCGCCTCCCAGCACACCAAAAGAAGGTCGAGGCGGACTGGTTCGCCATCTTCAACCCCGAGGTTCCGCGCGTGCTCGATGTGGATCTCCTCCACACCCTGCAGCACGAGAGCGTCGTCTGCTGTGTCAGGTTCAGTCACGACGGAAAATATGTCGCGACGGGTTGCAACCGTTCCGCTCAGATCTTCGATGTCAGTTCGGGAGCCAAGATCTGTATCCTGCAGGACGAGTCGGTCGATTCCATTGGCGATCTCTACATCCGAAGTGTCTGTTTCAGTCCCGATGGCAGATATCTCGCTACCGGAGCCGAGGACAAGTTGATCCGAGTAAGTAGTTGCCGCTCGCGTCACCGATTAGGCTAACATCTGCAGGTCTGGGATATTGCGAACAGAACGATCCGAAACACCTTCGCCGGTCACGAGCAAGACATCTACTCCCTGGACTTTGCTCGTGATGGCCGCACTATCGCTTCTGGCAGCGGCGACCGAACGGTCCGCCTGTGGGATATCGAGGCTGGTCAGAATGTCCTCACGCTCAGCATCGAAGACGGCGTCACGACCGTGGCCATCTCGCCCGACACCAAGTACGTCGCAGCTGGGTCCCTCGACAAAAGTGTTCGCGTCTGGGATGCCAATACCGGCTACCTCGTCGAGCGTCTCGAGGGTCCCGACGGCCACAAGGACTCGGTCTACTCGGTCGCTTTCGCCCCCAACGGCAAGGACCTGGTCTCTGGCTCCCTGGACAAGACGATCAAGATGTGGGAGCTCGTTGCCCCCCGCGGCCAACACCCCAGCAACGCGCCCAAAGGTGGCCGCTGCATCAAGACCTTTGAGGGCCACAAGGACTTTGTGCTCTCCGTCGCGCTCACCCCCGACGGAGCATGGGTTCTCTCCGGCTCCAAGGACCGCGGCGTCCAGTTCTGGGACCCGAGAACGGGCAACACACAACTCATGTTGCAGGGTCACAAGAACTCTGTCATTAGCGTGGCGCCGAGCCCGAGTGGGGGCAGCTTTGCGACTGGATCTGGGGACATGAGGGCCAGGATCTGGACTTACAAGCCGTATCCTTGAATCGCTGATAGGTGGGGGAGAAATGAGGGAATCTGAGATTCATTCTTGGGATGACTTTCATGGCGAAAGGCAATGAATGATTGGCGTTGGGGCTTGGGTGTTCTTGTGACCAGGCTGACGAATGCTGTATGGCTGGGTGGCTGGGTTTTCTTTTTGTGGGCTGAAGGGTGGAGGCCTGGAACGAAATCCATGTGTGAATTTTCGGCCGTCGTTTCACGTATAGTGGTAAAGGATTGTCGATAGGGGGTGGGTGGACATGATTGTGGGGGAGCGTGGGGATCGATTGGTAGGCTGGTTGTATGAGCGCGGGGACGGTATAAGTAAGCTAGAGTATACAGCAAAAATGGAAGAGTGTTCTTATTCATGAGACCAAGTCTGAGCAAAGCCACCTGGACGCTGTTCGGCTCAGCTGGGAAATGTGCGGTGTGAAAGCGCGCAACCGTCCGGAACTCAGCACGCCCGGCCGACAGGGCATTTCCTCGACTGGGTCGACCCAGCGAAGGAGAAGCAGCGTGATAAGGCAAGGCCCGACGACCACGGGCAGGAGGAAGACCTGATTAGCTTGACACTACGGTACACCCACTACTGCATCAGGGCAAAAATGCTACAAGGGGGCTGGCTGGCTGGCTTTTGAAAGGCGAGGCGAGGCGAGGCGAGGCAAATCAAGTCATGATATATACACACGTACATATATGTATATCTTATATATATAGAGAGAGAGAGAGATAGAGAGAAGGGGGAAGGGGGAAGGGGGGAGGGGGAAGGGGGGTCGGGGGTGTGTGTATGCGTGTGTATGTATGTGTGTATGTATGTGTGTATGTATGTGTGTGAGAGAGTGAGAGAGAGAGAGAGAGAGAGAGAACCTACAAAGAAGGTCTCAATCACGCGTAGAATCTGAATGTATAAGGAGAAGAAGAAGAAGAAGAAGAAGAAGAAGAAGAAGAAGAAGAAGAAGAAAGGTATTCATTTGCAAGACTTTAGTTGTGAGGTGGAGAGTGAGGGGGATGTTGTGTTTTGTTGTGTTTTGTTGTATTTAGATTTAGGGGACAGGCAAGCAGACAGGTAGGCAGGCAGGTAGACAGGTAGACAGGCAGACAGGCAGACATGAGAGGGAATTATGTTCCGTTGAGGAATCGAGGAGGGATGGAGGAATAGGTAGGTAGGTAAAGAAAAGATCACGTCGCCACTTTAACCTACCTGTATGATAGATACGTAGAACGATTGACGGCTACGGATGAGGAAATGTCGACGAAACAACCAGTCGAAACGAGGAGGGTAGGTAGTTACTCCGAGGCAGCCAGAATCATTCATGACAGCGATGATTAGCATGCACATTTGATCAAGAATAAAATACAGTACAATTGGTCTGTAACTTATAAGGGTATACAATCATCTCCGATTCCCCTTTGAGCAACACAGATTCATCCATGCTTCCGTCTCCGCCCTGGTTCAGCCTCCAAAGTCCATCCTCAGGGCGATACTCGGCTCCCCGCTGCCCTGCTCCGTATCTTGCACCACCTTCTGCCGTCCCTTCAGAATAACACTCTCCATGAAGCCCTTCTGCTCCACACTCAACCCGCCCACCACATTCCGAAACGCCCCCTGGTCGCTGCCCGCAAGATCCAGTAACCGAGCACTCGTCTCCTTGTACACGCCTTCGCCTTCACTGCCGGCTCTCGCGAGCAGCATCGGCATAACCACTGACATGGCGATTGCTTTTTGAGGAGCGGGGAGGGAGACAGTGTATAATACAAGGGCGTGAGTAATAAGAGCGCGGGCAGATTCTGGGTCTTCGGCGCCGGTCGAGGTGGTGAAGGCTATGAGGCGTGGGAGCAGGTAGCGGGCGATGCTTTGGTCAGCAGGGGTTTTGGGAGAAAAAAGGAGGAGAGTGCGGATGCAGCCTGCGGCGACCTTTGCAGTCTGTTTTTTCACTCTAGTTAGCATAAATTCGAGAGGAAGCGATAGGGATATGTACCATGCGATCACTTAGACAGTCAATGAGTTCGTCTAAGTAGCGCGTGACAAGAGGCTCGCTGGCCGACATGTAGTTTACGCCGCTGGTGAGAAGGACGGTTGATGCTAGAAGAGTGTTCTTGACACAGGGAAGAGAAGATTCTGATTCTCGTTTTTGGGCATGAAGATAGATGGATAGGAAACGCTTCAGACATCCTTGAACTTGGAAAATGCTGGCGTCCGGCTTCCCGTTCTTCTTTGGGGGTGAGATGCTGGTCATGAATCGCTTCAATATCGGAAGGGATTGTGGAACGACTACTGCCTGACAACTTGCCGTGCCCATAATGGTGGCGAAAATGTGGATGATGCAGGCGTGGAGGTCCGTTTTGATAATCGAGGGGAAGACTTCGGCGGCATCAACGAGGGCGTTCAGAGAGGTGCGAACAAGACTGACAGCTTCGTCTGTTAATTGTTGACGAGTAGCTTGCCTAGCTTCGATAAGATTCGGGAGAAGGCCCGCGAGCACAAGAACGATGATGCGAGTCAATTCAAATAGCTGCTCAATATCTTCGGACAAATCACCGTCTTCTTTGTCGGAAGCTTTCGTCGCAGAAGGGTGAGAGATACAAAGTCCCCGTGCAATCTGTACGATAACACCCTGCACATCCAAGCCCTCGGTGAGGACAAGTCGATCAAGTAGATCCATAGTCTCGGAAAATATTGCTTCTCGATAAATGGCATTACCTGAGACACTGGGGTGCAAGATCTTCTTGAGCGCTTGGAGGATCTCGAGTGTCTGCTCTTTAGTGGCGAGAGCATCGTTCCCTGGTCGAGCAACGAGGGCCTCAAAAGCGATGCCGAACAAGACGAAGAAGAAAGCCACGGGCTCGTCGCGGTAGTTGATATCATTACCCTTGGAATGGCCATTCGTATTGGGAGCATCCGCCTCCTTGCCATCAAGTGCATCAAAGACAAATTCGCTGTCTTGCTCAATAAGACTGGCAATGGCATCTACAAGCTTGAGCCAAGAGTCTTGGTAGAATTTGAGTAGGGTCTCCCGGTTCAAGGCAGCATAGATAGTATCCAGACTTCCTGATAGGGATGGAGGGCCAAGACTCATGCTGATATCTGGCTCGAATCTAAGTCGAGCAAATTCTCTCAAAGAGGCGAGCCAGAGTGGAGTGAGAGTTCCGATATATGGCTTCAGAACATCGACAAGGTAGAGCTGCTCGGTACTTGCCACTTGAAGCTCAGCCCAGCCGGAATAGACAGCCATCTTTACCATAACTTGGGCATTGGAGCTGAGTCCTTTCAAGTCTCCAATTGATTGTACTTCAGACTCAGTCGAGAAGTTCTCAAGAGCAGTGACAAGAGTCTTGAGGATACGCCCCATTCGATCAACATCGGTAACGATTCCAGTCGCGATGAAAGCAGCGCAGACATTAACAGCTTCAGACGCCAGCTCTGGCGAAGAGTCGGCCGCAAAAGCAGGAGTGAGGGCGGAACTAATTTGAGCTTGGTACTGCTCCAGAAGGGGCGCTTCGGCAAAATCAGGATCGGGTGTCCTGCCAAACATCTTTAGGACCGCATCGATGATTTTCAACCCCCAGACTCGAAGCTCTACAACATTGGATGTCGAGGCAGAGAAGGCCATGCGAATGACATCTGCGATCTTGCGCTGCAGAGCCATCTGTGCCGGCGATGGCTCGTCAGCATCGGGTGGCGTTGCTTTGCTGACAATCGCGAACATTTCGGCTAAACAGCTCATGGCAAAAGTACGGACTTGCCAGCGCAACGGCTCCTGGCCTGATTCCGCCGCGTTTGCTCCATCATCCTTCGCGGCTCCGGCTGAAGCAGCAAAACCAGCCACTTCTTCGTCTTGCAGGTCCGGCATCGCACTGGCCTTGGCAGTTGGTGCAATGGTTTCCGCAGCTTTCGATCGGGTCATCGTCAAGACGGTCTGGCATCTTTGTAGCCATCGTGCGGTGTCGGTCAGACAGGATTGGCCGAGCCAGTTCCGAATAACGTTCCTGATGCCATCGTGATCTGGGGCTGAGTCCAGAGCTAGCCATAACTGGTCCTCGAAACCTGCCTCTGCGGCCTTTACGACATCTTCAGAATTTCGCTTCATCAAGTTGTACAGACCGTCAATCGCGATGTCTCTCAAATCTGGAAACTCAGAGTTGAGGTCTTTTTGTAAAAGAACAACGTAGTCTGCAAATACCATATGGCCAGGAGCATATAGAGCAAGATGCTCGAGGCACCGAAGACTCCCTCCTTGGATCAACTGATTATCCTCCTCTTGGAATTGGCCAACAAGAGTGTAAATAAGTTCTCTGGGTTTGCTCATGTCTTGCAAATCCGGACCCAGCACATTGACTAAAGAGTCTACACATTGAGCTATGACGACCGTCGTCGACAGCTCCAGCTCCAGATTTGATGTCGCAACTGATGCGACTTCCTGGTTATGTGTATCTCCAACATACAATTGACCGATCATACCAAGAGTGCTGGTGACATAGCCCGAGAAATTCAAGCCTGCGGAATCCGCCACGCCGGATAGCGCTGCCAGTGCCCAGAAGTGGACGGTCGGATGTGGATCATTACACAGGGACATCAGTATCCCAAGGATAGTCTTGAGATGAAATCCAGCTGCCATGCTACCAACCTGGGAATGGATAGCGCCAAGTGCCATGGCACAACCAGCTCTTGCGCTTGGCTCACGGTTCCCGACGATTGTGTCGACGAGGTATTTGATCTCGCCATTCGTGAACGAATTTCCAGAACTATTGCAGAGCCGAGCTAGAGCTTGGTACCCAATACTCCGAACGTACTGATCTGGGTGGATGACAAACGTATGCAATATCTCTTGCATGAGCTTCTCTACAGCAGGGTTTGTCAGGTCTCCAGCAGGTGACTGTGTCTCCCTTACAGCAACTTTCAGGGTGCTGAAAAGTGCAGTTGCAATGTTGACATTCATCGCAGCTTTCCGGCCAGGATCTCGTTGCAAGGAACCGGCAGACATGAAGGTGGCTACTTGCTCTAGGATGCTTTCTTGGATTTTAGGTGGTGTCACAGGGAACGCGATCGCAAATAGTTTGATGGCGATGTTGACGACTTCAGTAGCTGGTGGATCGGGCATAGCGTCCCCTTTTCCTATTTCACCTAGGTATAGCGCCAATGAATCGTGTTCTAGCGAATTGCAAATTGGAGACTGTAAGACGCTCGCAATCGCACCATCGGAGCCACTTTCCTTCATCCAGTCATCCTGAGTAGCACTCTCGTGCTGGCCTGCCAGACGCTGGACCTGGAAAGCCCGGACTAGGCCCGTAACACCAAAGCCGCAGTTATCACCCACGTCCCAGACTGTCTCGAAGTTCCCTGCAGAACTCGCAATGGATGTGCTCAGGGAACTTGGAGTGTAATTTTCCGGGTCCGCGAAGAAATACACCGCGAGGGTAAGGAGATTGGATTGTAGTAAAGTCTCACTCCCGCCAGGGGGACTGAGAGTCACGAGTTTTGCGTAGCACTGGAGAACTCGTCGTTGCACCATGAGATCCAAATCGAGAAGCTGCAGGGACGGGAAAAGGCGTTGCGTGATATCTTCTGTAGTCTTTTTGGAAGGCAGACTCTTCAAGAACGCTGATGTGTTTTGGAGCATGGCGGCTATGCGCTTGGAGACATCCACAGTCAACAGCCTACTGTTGAATTGGAGGAAAGCCAAGATCGAGCCCAGGGCGCATTCTCTCACATGGGTGAGAAAAGAAGATTCGAGATAGCTACGCTGCGAGGTGTTATCCTTTGCCAGAGGTTTTGGGAGAGCATTCTTCCACAAAAGTAAAAGTTGCGAGAGATGTATCTTGACGAAATTTGGTCCTAATGACATGAGACCTCCAATCAAAATCCAGGCCACTTGGATCTGGGTACTGGATATTCGTAATTCTGACTTGCTACTTGACTTGAGCAGACCTGTGGCAAGCGACAAGACACGACTGTTGACATCGACGGAGCCGTAAAGGGGTTGAAGCGGTGCTGTGCTGATCATCGCAGACAGTCCATTCGCATAGCCAACACATCGCCGCGGAGAATTTCTTCCTGTAGTGAGAAGCGTCAATTCTCGGTTAACGCTATTCATGCAAATGGTGAGGCAAGGCAGCAGCTGCTGGGGACAAGCGAGCGTAAATGTTCGGAGACAGAACGAAGTGTACACTTGGACTGTGTAACTCGGATGCTGGAGAACTTGCAACAAGCCATCTCGACAATTATCCGCAAACGCATTCGATGCGGACCCAAGCGTCTTGATTAGAGAAGCTAGCGCGCTCAAGACCGCAATCAAAGCATGCTTCCCAGGCTCGGCCCGCTCCTTGATGACCTGCGGATAGTTCTTCAGGATATCGTTGATCAAGGATTTTGCAGCATCAATTTGGCCCGGTTGTCCCAAAATCGTTTGCCCAATAACGTCTTCAAGAATTATCTGCACGAATTTTCGGGTACTGAGGAGCCGATATCGGTTACTCGTTATATTTGGGTGGCTCAAAACATCAATGGTCAAGCTGTCCACAATTTTCATGTAGTTCGTCTCCACGTTCCTCTCGCTCAAGCTCTTGAATATCCTCGTGTAGCAGACAGCTATTCCGGCTCTGGACCTAGTACTTGTCGAGCTCTTGACATAAAACGTTGACAGTTGTTTCAAAATCTCCGGCAAGGTAAAAGCGAGGACGTGGCTCTTTTTCAGCCCAGGACTTTCTGGAGACTGCATTTCCTCGTCGTCATCCAACTTTTTGGTACTGGTCCTCTTGGGCTTTTTAATCTTCGGCATTTGAGCCTCATGCGCCGATTCCTCCGAATGATTCTTGACCAAGGCCTCCGCCAAACACTCTCCCGCCGCTTGGCGTACAAGGGGGCTCGGCGAGTCGATCGTCTTGAACAGCGTAGATTTGAGATTGTCAAAATCGGTCGAATTTTCGAAATAGACCGTATATTTCGAGAATGTCTTCAAACACTGACATGCCGCCATTTGTACCAGCGCAGACTTATCAGCAGCAGCAACAGTCCTGGCCTGCTTCCACACGTCCCTGGCAATACTTTCGTCCATGCTGCCTTGAATCATCTTCACGACTTTACCTAGGGCCTTGAAAACCGCAGCTCTTAACCCTGCGTTGTTCGCCGCAGGCTTCAAAAGTTTCAAGAGGGCTGAGCATGCCAGTGAATGCAGGCCAATAGCGCTGTCCCCAGCTGCACCAAAAACATCTCCCAGACAGTAAACAGCTGCCTGTTTCGTCCGCAAATCGGCCTCTGTCTTTGCCTTGCCGCTGCTGATGATATTGACTAAATCGTTGATGCTCTCAAACAGCAGCTTCCGGTCCCCCTTCCCGAGTACATGCGCAAAGCACCGCCCAAGGTTATTCCGTATCACTCTCGTTGGTGGCGGCGCATTCAAGTTAAGGATTTGCATAAACTCCCTTTTGAGATAGAGCTGCTGCGCGGTGCAGTCGTCCGGCTCGAGGCTTTCGACATGTTTGGTGAGAGAGGAGACGAATGTCAGGAGGTATATGTCCTGCTGCTCTGAGGGCAAGGCTTGCAGCTTCTTGATGTCGAGTTCGGGGTTGGTTGAGGGCTCGCGGAGTGTGGGCGCCGAGGGATTGCCATAGTGGGAGCTGGGCCGCGGAGTCGAGGACATTGACAAGTCGGCTTGGAAGTGGTGCACGATGGGGGAATCTGATGTGTGTTGAGTGAGGGCTTGTCTCCTATTTCTTGATTCGAGGAGCAGGAAGTATCTCTAATCTGTTGAACTTCGGCAAATCAGCGGCCGGAGCGTTGGGAGGATTAATTTTGCTTCCGGGAACCGATACATGTGGATGGACAGTGAGTGCTCAGAGAAGATCTGCTAATAGTCACATACTACACACAGTATGTCTGCGACGTCTAGAGGCCTTCGGTCATTCGTATCTCGAGAAGTCTCAGTTTGTTCACGATGTCTCTTCTCCACCAGCTCATCTGTTCTATCAGGCCACAACAGATGGTCAAAGATCAAGCACGACAAAGGTGCTGTAGACGCAAAGAAGAATGTGCAGCGCTCTATATTCTCGAGAGAGATAGCTTTGGCATCTAAGCGTATGGTTCAAATCTCCACTGTCCCAACTATCCACTGAACCCAATGGCAGTGTACGGTGGGGATCCAAATATGAACCCTCGACTAGCAGCTATCCTAGTCAACGCAAAGAAAGGTACATAATGTTAGAATCCCTCAGATTACGAAGCCGATCGGAGTCTCACACATACTAGCTGGCTTTCCCAAAGCCTCCATGGAATCGGCCATCGCGCGAGGCCAAGGGAAATCCGCCACCGGCGCTGCCCTCGAGAACTTCACACTCGAAGTCATCGTGCCCCCCACGGTCGCCATGATCATCGAAACCGAGACCGACAACAAGGCGCGCACGATGATGGACCTGCGACACCTGGTGAAAGTGCATGGCGGCACTGTAACACCCACCACCTACCTCTTCCAAAAGAGAGGACGTGTAGCGTTCTCCGCCGACGATGGGAAGACCAGCGTCGACGATGTGTTGGACGATGCTATTGAAGCTGGAGCGGAGGATGTTGAGGCTGATGATGATGGTGGCATTGTCGTGTGGACGGAGCCGAATCGGACGACGGCCGCGGCAAATGCGCTGCACAAGAGCCATGGGTTGAAGGTAGAGAGTGCGGATATCATCTGGGATGCCAATGAGGATACGAAAGTTCCGCTGGATGGAGAACATATGGATGCTGTGAAAGGGTTGAGTGCGCTATTAGATGCGTTGCAGGATAATCCGAACGTGCAGGGTGTGTATGCCAACGCTGCGCAAGGAAGCTTGACGGACGAAGTCTGGGAGGAATTGGTTGGGAAGTTGGATGCATAGACGAAGATCGTGTGATGGATGTATTTACCAGTTGTATAGTATTGTACAAAAGCTATGAATGGATACCAATCTTCTTCTCTAGTTGGTTCCTAGACTTCGGAAAAGAGTGGTGCTTGTGCCACGATCCTGAACGCCTTCAATGCATAACGAACGCCCGTTCTAATGTCTCTCTCCCAAAGATGCCATCCTCAAATTCAATCCGCGCCAGTCATTCCAAGCTAGAGCCCTAGACAACCTCAATTCCTTTTGAGCCCTTTCTCGCTTTGTATTGCAGCCGCTCCAACACCCTGCATCCCATAGACCCTCACGCGCCCTTCCCCCCGACATCTCCACCTTCCTCCAACCTCCGATTCCTCAGCTCCAGCCTCTTCCGCCTCAAGCGTTCCAGCTCGCTGTGAATCTCGTCCTTCTCAAACGGGATGCGGTTCGTCTGTTCCGGCCGGGGCCAGAAGTCCGGCACCGCGAAGCGCTTGTCGAGGTTGATGCCGTAGTAGTACATGAATGCGATCGGGAACATCACGTACAAGCCGAACTGCAAGGTAGGTACAATTATCTCTTGTTAGCGATCATGCAAGAGACGACGAAGGCAAGAGGCAAATTGGAAAGTGAGAAGGGAATATGTACTTTGAAGACTTCCAGATTGGGACCACCCATTTTGCAATTTGTGTGCCCGTTCGTATGGGAAATTTGGCTGGGAGAGCAGTTGGTTTTTTTTTACAAGTAGTTGGGCGGGTGGGAGATCAAAATTATTATGCAATCTCAACTCGTTAGATACCTACAATTGTCAATGCAATTGTTTATGCCTTATATATCAGACCGCAATGATCGTGCTTTGAACAGTCCCCTGTCAAACGTTGTAAACAAAAGCCGAGGCTTGATCGGTTCAAGGAGAGCTTACAGTACCCCACGGCGCTCTTCAACTTCCAACTTCACTCCTTCACAATAACACCCTAGTAGTGTTCTTTTTCCCTAGTTTATAACTTCGTTCGTTTTGCTCAAAGAAACAACGTAAAATGGCTTCAGCAGTGACCCTCGAGTACCAAGGCAAGGTAGCCATCATCACAATCGATAATCAGAAGAAACTCAATGCTTTGACACAAGACCAATACTATGAAATGGCCTGTCATATGAGGGAAGTTGCTACGAGGACGAGATTTTTGTCACTATGTTAACTGCGAAGGGTAAGTTTGGAATTATCGTGTTATTTACATGCGTTCGCTAACCCTTATTCTTTTCCCAGGACGGTTCTTCTCGGCGTAAGTTCATCTACCTCTCGTTGCTTCTGATCAGCAAAATCTCGGTACTAACAAGCTGCAGCGGCGCCGATGTGTCCATTTCCAATGCCCAAGCTCCAGGAACTGACAAATCCCGATATTGGCTTAAAAACTTCGTCTCCAACAACCTCAACATAACCCAAGCCTTTTACACCCACCCTAAAATTCTGGTCACAGCTCTTAATGGACCAGCCGTGGGTCTCTCAGCCGCCCTCATCGCATTCTCAGACTTCATCTACTGCACGTCTTCCGCGTACCTCTTTACCCCCTTCTCCTCCCTCGGCCTCGTAGCCGAAGGAGGCGCCTCCCGCGCTTTCGTGCAGCGTCTCGGCATCAGCAAAGCCAACGAGGCGCTTATCATGAGTAAACGCATCACGGCCAAAGAGCTGCTGCAAGTCGGGTTCGTGAACAAGATCTTTGATCTTGAAAAAGGCGAGGAGGAGAAGATCAGGGGACTGGTGTTGGAGGAGATCGGGAACCGACTTGGGGACCATTTAAATGGGGATAGTATGACGAAAATCAAGGCGTTGATTCGGAAGCCTGAGATTGATGCTATGGACGCGCAGGGTGTGGCGGAGGTATTTGCTGGTTTAGAGAGGTTTAATGCGGGCATTCCGCAAAAGGAGTTTGACAAGATTGCCAGTGGGCAGAAGAGGCATAAACTGTAGGATCTTAGATGAGGGCTTCAGAAAAGAATGATATTGGAAATCTTCATACCGTACGAACCGGGAATCGAGGAAATTCGCTTGTAGGATGCAAATAGTCCAGTCGCATTTATTCGCCGCGACCAACGTGAGACCCCCTTGTCCCAAACGCCCATATGCTTCCCTCGCGGAGGAATCCTCACTTCTGCTCATCGTTCGCATCCCTCTCGGAGTTAGCCCTCAGCTTCTCCTCCTGCTTCTTCCAGTGACTGCCCTCTTCGTAATCCTTGCTGATGCCCAGCGCGCTCCTGAACCGATTGTCTTGCTTAATTTTCGCCTCTGCCAACTCATGCACTTGATGCATCTTCAGTCCCTTCTTCGCTGGTCCATTGCCTTTGTCGCTCTCTCTCATAAGGTTTCTTCTAAGCGCTTCTGTTCGGTCTTCAATTTCGTCTTCGTCAACACTATCATCAGATGTCAATACCGTAGCGAGATCAACGTGAAAGGCATGTAGAGGACGGGAGAATAGGCAGGTATACGGACCCCTCATCTTCCAACAAGTCCCTTAACTCAAACACCTTGAGCTCAATCTCGCGCTTCCGGTCATGCTCCAAGATGTCCTTATCTGGCTGTCTCTGGCGGTGCTTCAAGCTGTCCAGGTCGGTCGAGTATGGCTTGTCGCGGGGTCGGAGATGCGCCAAGTTGCGCTGGACATAGCCCGAGGTACCACTTCCTCTTGGAGTATTGAGACCAACGTTTGAAGACATTTTAGGGCTGTTTTTGTAAGATATGAGACAACGTGATGCTTCGGGGAAGTATCTGAGGGCTGATTTCGCCAGAGGCTAAGGACGATATGGATTGAAGGTTATGGCGGTGAGGGATTAGCGTCGGCAGAATAGTGTCCGCCAATAAATTGCCCCTCTTCACACAATCGCAAGCTCCAATTCCCCAGCATGAACATCCCTCCTACTTGATTTTTTATTTATTCCTGATCACGGAATATACATCTTCACAGATCTATGCAAAATCGTACAAGATGCCAGCAACAGACGCCTCAGCTGGTCCCAGACCAGAACCAGAACCACTTACCAAGCTCCCCTTCGAACCAGTCACCAAGTCACATATATTGAATTGCTCCTACGATTCCTGGCACCCAAAGTACGCTCGCTCCCTCTGAGATCTCCTCATGTCTAATATTCTCAGATACCGCAACTCAGCCCTCAAATCCCGCATCATTCCCCTCACCCCCGCCTTCCTCTCCTACCTTCGCGAAGACGGCATCGTCCTCCCAAGCGAAACACCTACCTTCCCACCCCCATCAACATACAAAGATGACAGTACAATTTCCGACTGGGACGAAGATCCAACACCAGATCCCTCCCTTGTCTTCTCCGCTATTCATCAACAAATCAAAGACACAATCGCTGAGTTCGGTGGTCTCGTCGCCCCGAAGCTTAACTGGTCTGCTCCGAAAGACGCGACATGGATTTCTATGAAGAAGAATAGCATGGAGTGCTCTACACCGAATGACATATACTTGCTCCTCAAATCTTCGGACTTCGTCACTCACGACCTCGAGTACGCTTTCGACGATTGCGCAGAAGACGATACGGTCAAGCAAGAAGATATAAACTACGTTCTTGTTCTACGGAAATGGTTCAGAGTCAATCCATCTTGCGAATTCAGATGCTTCGTAAAGAATAGACGAGTAATCGGGATCTGCCAGCGGGATTTGAATCATTTCGATTTTCTGTTCCCACTGAAAGACAGAATACGCGATACAATACTGGACTATTTCGAGAACACATTGAAGGAATCCTTCCCAGATAAGGACTTTGTTTTTGATATCTATTTACCGAAACCCTATGACAGAGTACGACTGGTAGACATAAATCCCTGGGCACCCCGCACCGATCCTTTACTCTTCTCCTGGTTGGAACTCCTCACGATGCCACTACCCAAACCGCTGCTGGGAATCCCAGATTCAGATTCAACACCTTTAGAAAAATCTAGCGACGAAGACACGACGACTGAGGACGAGGACGCAGAGGAAGTCGCTTGGAAGCCGGAGATGCGGTTAGTGAGGAAAGATGACCCAGAAGCATACAGTTTCGCCAGCCCGCAATATAGTGCGCATAAGCTGCCAAGAGATGTGGTGGATGCGAGTCTGGGTGGTGAAAGCGCGATGAGAGACTTTGCGAATAATTGGAAGGGCATGATGGAGGGGGGTGTGGGTATGCAGGGGCCTGGGGAGGAAAGCGATACCGAGGACGAGGACCGGGTCATGGGATTAATGCGGGAGTGCGCACTAGATGGCGGTAAATGAAATGAAAGCTGCAAGCCATAAGGAATATGTAATTGACCTCACCTCGTCGATTCGAGGGTATCATGCTAAGTGATCTTGAATTAAAGACGGCGGTGTTTTGGCCTAACCTGTCTTTTCAAACCACCAATATCCTCTTGACTTGATACCAATAATGCATAATATAATGTTACGCACCGATAGATCTAAAAACCAATTTTTTTTAAAAAAAACGAAGCAGCTGGTACAGCTGCTTCGCGAATTCAATTCGTGAAAAAACATTCATAATTATCATTGTTATTGTTGATCTCGCTTACGAAGCGAGAGAGCCCCTTTTCATTCCATTTCCTTTGCTATCTCCTCAAACCCCATCCCATCCCATTCCATCCACGCCGGGTAGTGGTGGCGCTAATTGTTGAGTTGAACCAATCTATCCAGCATAGTATCCATTTACTATTATTCATACAGAGGAAGGACATTATGCCATTTTAGCAAAAAGGAGGGAAAATCGAGCAGAAGATCTAGTCGAGCCTAGAAACTGTCTCTTAGCGTTCCCGCCTCTTTTGAAAGATAGCAAGCAAGCCGTTACAAATAAAGAACATTTTCTCTTATTCCTTCTTCGAAATGCTTTTAACAAGCGTGCTGGAAGCACTCCTTCAAGCCCCCTACTCCTAGTCGCTGTGGCTTACACTTGCCTTGCTCCCTGGCTTTCCACCTCATCAAGAGTCTTTCTTCCTGTGATCCATCTTATCCGTCGGGGAAGGGCGCACTTGATGGCAGCCACGCTGCACCACTTTGAATGCTTTCTAGGGCCCTCTTCTATGTAGCTCCTTAGCTTAGCACAGCACGTCGCCATACCCCATGGGAGGTCCCAGGGCGGCAGGCTTCGCCTGCTACCCGCCGGACGTAAATCAATACTACTACTACTACTCCTCCTCCTCCTCCTTATCGGTCCTTTTATCTGAATAATTTAAAAGGCGATTCAGCAACGAAGATAGCTCCGGGTCAAAAATCATGCTATTCCACTTTCGCCGGATAATTTCCGAATCAAATCTCATATAACCTCCAAAAACTCAAAAAAAAAAACAGAAAAAAAAACCCCCAGAACTCTCTTCTCATCTCGTGTTTAAGTTAGCCTCGTTCATTAAACCCCTTTCTTCAAAGCTCTCTATTTTAAATTTGAGTACAACCCGGTACAAGTACGCGGCCACTATCCCAAGATTTCTTTTCTTTTTCGCAAATCGGTCTCGGCCGACGACGAATACCTCGTGATAAAAAAAAGTATTCCCGAACATTAATCAAGACATTTACCAATAAAAGCATGGATTGTGTCGTGTGTTTATCGTGTTTCGATCGCGGCTCGTAACCTTTACTTATCGTCGAGATGTGCGGAATCGACGTGGAATTTCGAGTAACAGAACGGGTTCTCTTTACGTATTCCGAAAGATAGAGAGCGGTTATCGATCGGGTCGAAAAAAAAAGAAGATAAAAAAAGAAAAGAAAAAAAAGAAAAGAAGGAAGTCGAATTAATTGAAAATAAACCAGAAAAAAAAAACAAGATTAATTGAGAAAGATTTCAAATTCGCCGAGATCGACAACCTCTTTTAATCAATCAATAAATCGGAAAAAAAAAAAAAAGGAAAAAAAGGGGATTCAATAGTCAAAAGTAAAAAGCTTCGCACAAACTCTATCGTATCCTATCATATCGTAAACCCAAGACCCGTCTTTGAAATGCAAATGCAATATATTACCTATAATATCAAGCAGCGCGGCTGCGATCGTATCGTACCGTATCCCATCCTATCCTATCCTATCCTATCCTATCCTATCGTATCCTATCCTATCCTATCCTATCGAGTCTCTTTTCTTTTTTTTTTAAAAAAAAAAAGACAAAAAAAATCGCGAAATATTATCATCGAGTCAGATTAAGACCGGGTCGTAATCGTCGGCTACCTTGATTTGAATTTGTAAAAGATCCCGACATGCAAGTCGGTCGATTAAAATTAAGGTAGCCGAACGTTACCTTCTTCAACAATTTTTTTTTTAAAAAAAAAGTTTGCTTCGATTGGATTTTACTTTCAGCGTTTCAGGTTCTCTTTGTCGCAGAAGAGAGAGAGAGAGAGAGAGAGAGAGCTGAAGGTTCGTAGCAGGCATCGCGTATAGCTGAAGACTCGCAGCCTCTTCTCAACAAGCTAACAGATAAATAAATAAATATCTCGCTCGTCAAAAATATACGGCTGAATTCTACGAACGTTCAATCAAGCATGTAGTCTGTCACCTGTCTATCATATAATAAATAAGTTTATAACGAAGTTAAAGACCGATTACCTAGCGAGAAAAGTGAAAGAACTCTCACGTTCCTTGGCTCTACTCCGTATAATTCGCGGTGAGAATTAAGATTTTAATTTTAGGATATAGCACATTTTTTATCTTGAAAAAAGGAAAAGATAACAGAGAAATATTCAAATAATAGCTTCTTTCAGTTGATAACATACCCACCATCCACCACCTAGACGTTTTTTTTTTTGGATCATTAGCCAGGAGCGTTACAAAACCCAAAACCAATTCAACTCAAACATCCCGGACATCATCAATATTCAATATAAGAAATTAAACTTACGAGAGCGTGCCCCTGCACGAAAGTAGCCTTGCTACTGCATAGGAACAGACAAGCGTCTGCGACCTCCTGCGCGCTCCCCATGCGATCCATCGGCGCAATCGCCACCGCCGACTCTAGCACTTTGGCGAGTGCCGGATCGCCTTTTGTCATGGGCGTTCTGTTGGCGGGGTCAGCTGGGGACGGGATTTGCATCAAGGGGGCCCAGATGAAGGGGGGGAGGGATTGCATACGCGATAACACCTGGACAAACGCAATTGATTCTGATATTGTCCTTCGAGTAGTCGATGGCATCGCTCTTCGTCAGTGAGATGACTGCTGCTTTGGAAGCGCAGTAGGCCGCTATTGCTGTTAGTACACTGATCATCCCATCCCGTCCTCTTCGTGCCTGGATAGTAGTCGGGAGGGATGGAGACTCACGTGCATTCGGCCTCGATACCAGGCCCAACTGACTCGCAATATTCACAATGCTGCCTCTGCTGCCTAATCTTCCATCATGCGTTGGTAATGGTTCCTGCTTCAACATCTGCGTCAGCTCCGCCCTTGATGAGAGCCATGTTCCGCGATAGTTAATGTTGTTGATGAGATCGAAATCGTAGGCGCTTATTGAGGTCGAGCGGTCATTGTTGCCAATTACGCCTGCGAAAGAAATAAGTATCGGTCGTTCGTCTCCCACCCGTCTTCCTCGGATGTAGCATTGGAGATGGTTTTGATGGGTGGTATAGTGGAAACGGGGAGAGGGAGAAACGTACCGGCAGCATTGACGGCATAGTCCACCCTTCCCCATTCGTTGACGGTCGCTTGCACCATGGCCCAGACTTGCTCTTCCTCCAGCATGTCGACCGGGTAGACGAGAATTTCAGCAAAGCTCGAAACTTCCTTCATGTACTTCTCGGTCTTCCATAAGGTCAGATGACTTGCAGGCAGTGGCAAGAAGGTTCAAGAGGTTGTTGGACTGACCTCGACGAGGCCATCGCGATTTTTATCACATATTATCTGCAAGGTCGGGGAGTTTCAGCAAGTGCTCTGCTCTTCTCTGCTCGCCTTGAGTGTCTCGGCAGTAGCTGGCTAGCTGGCGAGCTGGCTAGCTATCTAGCTACCTCTCAGGAGTGAAACTACTCCCCAAACACTAGAAAGGGAGATGGAAGAATTACTGGCCGATGATTTGTCTTACGATTTGCGGACATCCCTCGAGGGCGAACGAGATGGCTACTGCACGTCCGATCCCTTGTTCACAGTCCCGATATCAACATTCTTCCATTAAGCGAAGTAGGTCATTTCATGACCGAAAGGATGAATGAAGACAAGAACGGACGTAAGAAAAGCGGAGGGCCAGCGAAGGCCATTGGGAGATCAGTCAATAAGTCGTACCTGAAGCGGCTCCTGTCACCAAAGCGACGCCGGGGAATAACGTCATACTTGGACGTGGAAGTTGGTGTTTCGGGCCGTTGTTTTTTCCACGCAGGATCTTCGAGGGGGAGAGGTGCAAGGTAAGGAAGAAGGAAGAAGGAAGAAGGAAGAAGGAAGAACGACGATAGGAGATACAAGATACAAGATAGAAGATGGAAGATGGAAGATGGAAAAAGTAGGAAGCCAGAAATGCAGGAACAAGCGCCAGAGTGTACAATGCATGCAACGGGGGGGATCGGGTAAGATTCATCTTTTGAAAAGGGCGAGGACGTGGCTGGTGATTTGGCTTTATTGATAACCGCTTTTACGTTTTCGGTGGAGGATTAGGGGATGGGGCATTGGGGGATTGGGGGATTGGGGACTGGGGGACTGGGGGATGGGGGATGGGGGATGGGGATGGGGATGAGGATGGGGGATTGCAGGAATAATCGATGTACGGGATGAATGTCGTGCAGTGTCGGAGAAAAGAATACCCGCCTGGACTCGACTCGACTCGACTCGACTCGACTCGATTCGGCTGCCCGGCGACGGCAGAATGCAGAATGCAGAATGCAGGGTGCAGGGAGTGAGAAAGGGGTGCCCTTATCTCGGCCCCTTCCGAGCGGTGAAGAAGGTGAAAGGGAAGAACCCAACAATGATTTGCTTGACATAATCACACCGGTCCGGTCGGGTTCCACCGCAGACGCAGATTGGAATCATCGCGAGGACATCTCGGATGCAGGATTTCGAGGATGCGGATGCCATCTGCTTACTGGGCCTTGCTTGATACTCTCTGTATACCTGTATCACCTGACTTACTGCATCGGACCGTCATTCAACCACCACCCATCCTCGACCGGCCATCTTCTTTTGCCTAACTTTTCGGGCAGGGAGCGGCCAGCCCATGCCACCACCACCACCACCAGCACTCCCCTCGGCCCGCAGGTAGGGGATCACCCAACACTCCCTCTCGTTGGCATCTCCTCCTCCTCCTCCTCCTCCTCCTCCTCCTTGGCCCTTCATCCTGGGCATCACATCCTTGATAGGCTTACCGTACTGCAGCAGCGGTGTCCCCTTGGCCAACGCAGCAAGCTGCCCACCAGTAATGTCGGTCAAGGCGTGCATCCGCGTCTTGGGATTCTTATCGGGTGTGGCGGCGGAGGGTGCGGCGCGTTGGAGATGGGAGTAGACAATGTATTCCGGGCATTCTTGTACGCTGACGTGCGCGAGGGGGGACGATGGGTGGATATAGACCGCTTTCTCCTCCTCCTCGTCTCGCGTGACGTGAGAGGGGAATAACGTGACATATGGCACATCGATGGCTCGCCGGGCCTTACGCCCAGTTTCCGGGGGGTTGGGTGACATATCGGCTCGCATCGCGATGTGGTCAATGAAGCCAGCTGCGACCATTTGCTTCAGTGCCTTGACTTGCTTCGAAGTGGGCGGTGGTAGCTTATCCTGGAACTTGAGCCCAGCAAACGCTGTAATATTGTCCCGAAGAAGAGCGGTGATTTGTTTTTGAAGCTGGACGATTTCCTTCAAGACTTTATACCGGACAAAATGTGCTTTACACCAAGCCTCCGTCGGCTCGTGTGCAAACTCTCCCACAACTTGAAGGAGCTTAATCGCATCAGACTTGTCGTCCAGGAAGCAAAAATCCTTCTGCACCTTGTTGAACTCGCGTCGGATGTTATTGCGAACATCCTCTTCGAGCCTGTCTGTAGCCGTGAAGTATGAGTCTTCATCTCTTACTGCCGCAGCAGGTACAACCTGATTTTCCGGGATGAAGAAGTCAGGTGCAGAAAGACCAGCCACGAGTGCGATGGTGTATGGTAGGCAGTCATGCAGGTGTCCAACAAGTAAGATTCGCGCGAATCTGGGCGCCACGGGGAATATTGTCATCGTTGACCCATTCGGCGTGATCTGTCCTGTGGCTGATATCGCGGATAGGTACGACAGAAGTCTCTCAGAGCTAGCGAGGCTTTGTCGCTCAGGCGGCGTAGGAAACGGAAAATTGACCACATGCTGAAGGTTCATGGCTTTCAGCTGCAGCACAATACCTTCAATTGGCGATCGTAGTATTTCTGGCTCGGCAAACTCCGGGAAGTCTCGCTCGTAGACAGCCGAAGAATACAGCCTATAGCAGTGACCGGGCCCAGTACGTCCAGCACGACCAGCACGTTGGCTCGCACTGGCTTTGCTGATCCAGCCTACTTCATATGTCTGGACACCAGTATTTCGATCATATTTCTTCTCCTTTGATCGCCCGCAATCGAAAACGAAACGAATGCCTGGAATTGTCAAACTTGTTTCCGCAACATTGGTGGCCAAAATCACCAGTCGAGATCCATCTGGCGGCGGCTGGAAGACCTTCATCTGCTCTTTCGTGGGCAGCAGCGAATACAGGGGTAGTATGTGCATCTTGGTCGGGCCTGTGTCAGCTTCCTCTTCGATGTTAAACTCCTCGTCATCGAGATTGATATCAACATCGTCCTCGTCCTCATCTTCCTCAAAATCGGCATCATCGCCCTCAGCCGTGTCACCAAAATCAACATCTTCTGCCTCAAGTGGAGCGTCTCTCCCAGATATTCTCACTTGAGGCCCTGTCGCCGTGTGGCCAATCTTGAACGCCTCTTTCAGCATTTTACTCAATTGGGTAATTTCGTTCAAGCCAGTCAAAAATACAAGAAACCCTCCCGGTGGGAGTTTCTTATGCCCTCTGCTAATCTTCCGAAATGCATCCTCGACGTAATCGTGATGTGTCTTTCGTGCAAAATGATTCACGACTGGGTACTGCCTCCCTTCTGCTTGAAGTACGGGAGGGGGTGTCGAAAACAACGTTGCATTTTGAGTGAAGTCAGTTATCCTCAATGTGGCGGACATGATAATGAGCTTCAAGGGCTTGAGAGAGGCGTCCTCTTTGACCATCTCCTCGCGCAACTTGACGACTCGGCTAAGCATTCCAATCAAGATATCGGTGTTGACAGTTCTCTCGTGAGCCTCGTCAATTATTATCGCAGAATACTTTCGTAGAGCAATGTCCTGTGCAACTTCCCGCAGAAGAACACCATCAGTCATAAACTTGATGGCCGTATCCGCACTAGTGTTGCCTTCAAATCGAATCTGGTAGGCTACACGATGCCCATGGTCTCCCATTTCATCTCCAACACGCTTAGCCATGCTGACGGCCGCTACCCGCCTAGGTTGCGTAACGCCGATCATTCCTGGTGTAGGCGACCCTTTTGATCCATACCCAGCTTCGTACAGAAACTGGGGAACTTGGGTGGTCTTTCCAGATCCAGTAGCACCATAGACCACTACCAGGTTGTTGTTGTGGATTGCTTCCATGATCTTTTGCTCTTCAGCAACAACTGGGAGCTTCAACCGCACCTCTTGGATCTCCGTGGTTCTGTTTACGGTAACACTGTATGCCTTGCGGCTGTCATTGGTTGTGGTTCGTAGCTCCAAGGGTAAAGGATCTTGCTCCGGTGCTCGAGGCTTGAAGTCTGTGACTTTCGGTATTTCCAGTATATTGGCGATGTTAGGGGTCGGCTGAAATCCAAGGGCTTCGTTCACTTGTTGCGTTGCCCATGCCTTGAAGGCCGAGGATCTTGGCTTCGAAGAAACGTCTTCCTCTCCATCATCTGAGGAAGAATCTTCTGAGTCCCCACTGCCACTATCACTAGACTCCGAATCCGAGCCTGACGACGAGTCCTCGTCCTGGCTCTCCTCGTCCGAGGCATCTGATATATCTTCGTATCCGTTTATGGAAGGTTCGCTTTCCGTGTCCATCTCAGAAGCAGAACTGAATCCTTCCCACTCCGGTTCCACAGGCGCTTCGTGCTTGAACGATAGCTTCGAATTTACCCCTCCTCTCCGTTTCCGCTTCTTCAATATAGGTTTCCCTTCCTCGTCCATCTCTAGAGGCCTCTTCAGACCACCACCCAGGGTTACAACGGGGTTCTTCGGTTTGATCGGTATCGTAATTGGCTTCTTGAAAAGACTGCCGCTTGTCTTCGTCTCGGTATCTTCCTTTTCGGAACCGCTCTCCTCTTCTGGTTTATTTTCGTCCCTTTCGGTCCTCTTCTCAAATAGAAGCTCTTCATTATCTCCGTCGATATCAATTCCTGCCTGGTTCTCCTTCAAAGCCCTCTCCAGCCTTTGCCTCTTCGTTTCCCGTCCCTGCCCTAGCCTACTGCTGCTCTGGTAAAGACTCGTATCCGTCTTCCCCTTCGCCAGCCGCGCAATCAGTTCCCGATTCTCATCCTTCCTGAGCTTCGTTTCCAGGTACTTCTCCAATCGTTTTGCCTTCTTCCCACTGATCTTCGGTCCCTTCAGCTGGATTTCCTCCTTCATGCGACGCTTCTTCTCCTCGCGCTCCGTCTGCGAGGCGGGGACGATTTCCGCCGCATTGGAGTCGATGGTTTGCTGCTGGGAGTGCGCCTCATTTTCTCGTCGTTCCCTCTCCTTGACCTTGTGCTTTCGTTGCCGGGGGACGAATTTGGCCATTTTCGCAGGGTATTTCAGAACATTTTCTGTATCCAGGTAATTACCGGTACATCAGGCGAAGACAAAAGTGCCCCGTATGCTCCCCACCGAGTCGAAAAAAGTATTTCCGGGGTGGTCCTGCCGCGGCCGGCTCAGGGCGGTGAGCCAACGAGGCTTCAGCCTTGCGCCCAATCTTTAAGAAGTCCTCTCAGACACCCAAACAGCTTCAGCCTCATCGCCACTATGTCTGTTCCCGGAATATCTCGAGGCCTCGAGAACGTCGATATCGGTGGTGGAGTAGACTCATCTCCGTTCCCTGCCAAGAGCAAGTATCATGCCGGACTTGTCAGCGGGATCGGAACGGATGTCTCTTCTATTTACTTCTCCGACAAGATCTTGATCACCATCTCCCAGGAAGGACGGCTGTCACAATGGGTACGTGCCATTCATAACGATTGGAAGAATGACACTCACCGAGTTTCCACAGGTCCAAGTCCCTCTCTCCTCAGCATCTCCGACGTCATTTGATACTGCGTTGCCATCAGATGGCGAGGACATGCTTCCACTGGGCCACTTGACCCCCAAAACCCTTCTCGGTGCGGGCGGCGAGCAACGAGAAACGATCGGCCATTTATACGCTACTCACATTGCAAGCTTGATCGCTACGAGGAACCCGGAAGACACGAGGACGGTCGTGGTGGGGTTCGGCTTGCCAAAAATCGATGTGGGCAGGGATGCCTTTTTTGATATGCTGGAGTTGGTACAGAAAGTCATCTGAAAATCATCGGCGACGGCAATGAGACAGTTGCTCGCCATAATTTTTTTCAAGATTTGGCAATGAGACTCAGAAGGCGATTGGGTGGCCGAAACAAGATCATACCAAGTTGAATGACTGACGAGCACTACGAGCGATGATATCTTGTGAATGCAGCCTTTAAATCTCATCTTCGGCCATCTAAGCTGCAATGATGGCTGCACTAGGGGCTTTCTCAACCTTTTCCCCAAAGTTCTTTTTGAATTGATTTTCCTCCAGCTTGAATCTCAACTGACACCAGTCCCCACAAGACATAGGCTCGTACTTTGGAGGGTTCTCCTCCGAGGTACACGAAGGGACTACACCTTCAACACAGTTGAAGTTCAGACCTAGAGTCGTGTAAGCCTTGTTGTTGCTTGTTGTCTGTATTGACTTACCGAAGAAAAACGGCATTGAGACTCGCTCTACCGTTGATCGGTTATAGACCCTGTGGACTGTGCTCTTATAAATGTCGTTGCAGAGTCGCATCATGAAGTCACCGATGTTCACAACGATAGTGCCCTTGACAGGAGTCGCCTTGATCCACTGGCCGTCACGATTCAAGACTTGAAGGCCACCCGTCATATCCTGCCAGAGCAGAGTAAACAGCTGCAAGTCGGTATGACTTCCCAAGCCAACAGAGTTATTCCTCGTCTCTTCCTCGGTGGCTGGGGGATAATAGTTGAAAACGCCATCAGCACCCGGATACGTTGTGCGGCTGTCGAAATAGTCTTCCTCGAGATCGAGACTCAGAGCAAAGACTCTCACCAGTCTTCTGGATAGAGTCAGGCAAGACGCCCAGTAATGGAGAACCTCGTCTTTGAAGCCCGGAAGATGGGAAGTCTCCTCCCAGACAAATTCTTCGCCTCGGATCCAGGGCTTCACTTCCTCCGGTGTTGCATCCAGATCCTTGGTATCCGGATCATATTGAGGAGAATATCTCCAGCCCAGCTTTCTGCAGTCAGCTCTGTCTCTGAACTCGTTGGAAATACACCTTACAGTTTCCTTCACATCGACACTCTCTCCGGGGCTGATATTTGTGCTTCTCGGACCAATATACCCGTTGAAATATTTCGATCTCGACTTGTGAGCTCTCATTTTCTGCTCCGACGACTGCCTGAAGAAGCTTCGTTGTTTGTTTCAGCACGACTATCTGAAAAGTCAGATGGCCTTTACTCACGCTAGAAGCTGCTTCTTCGCATCAGCGATAGTCTTGTCGTCGATTCCATGGTTCTTGATGTAGAAAAATCCGGTGTTGACCGCCGCCGCCCGGATCTGCTTCGATAACTCCTTGCGGTCGTCAAACCGGTCCGAAGCCAAGGGTGTCAAGTCGATGATGGGTATCTCTTCCGCGGTACAGTCTCGCGGGGGGGTGTCCAAGACGTCGCGGAAGATGGGTCCATAAGCAGTGCGTAGCTCCAGCTTGGAAGTCGACGACGACGGCATCGTCGTTTTGGGTGTCGACATATTGTCAGCGAAGGTCCGGAGTGGATACTTCTTGCATACGAATTATTCGGACACTGAGCTGTTCTAATATTTGACAGACAGACTCGAGCTGACGATGTCTCGCAATACATATATATATATATATATATATATATATAGCGACAGGTCGAGATCTCACTGTACTGCCTTATAAGCCGCTTGCTTGCTTCTCTAGCAGCTAGATCTTCTTCTTCTTCTTCTTCTTCTTCTTCGGTCCTCGCCGGCGACCGCGGTCCTACAGTAACATGAGCAAAGTCCACACATAAACAAACAAGCCTTATCGGCGAGGAGTCGTCGCCGCTACACCCCTCCTCCCACTCTTAGTCTATATTACCCGAGGACTAAACTGCAAGCTTGACGCATGGCACGTGACAAGTATCCCTAGAACGAATGCTCACCCTTACGATATCCCGGACCACGAACAATAACACACATCGAGGATTCAAAAACCGATCCAGAACGCAACTCGCTCATCTTTTCCATACGTACGTAAATCCTTTCTTCTCAGCCGAAGAAAAAGAATTTCTTTTTTTATTAAACCACCCATTTAAAAATTAAAGACATACCTCATCCTTCCCACCTATCCATCCATCCATCCATCTACCGGTATCTATCTTCTCCCACAAACCTACAAATAAGCAAGCACCCATCCACCCACCCACTCCTCTCATCAATAACAACAACACAACATAACACAACACAAACCATACAAACCATCAAACCACACGAACCACACGAACCACAAAATCTAAGCGCTAAGTACATAATCCATCATCCAGGAAAAACACACACACGCACACACAATGAACCCGCGGCAGAAAGATGACGAAAAAAAAACAACGAATACCAAGAAACCTGGCGCTCGGGATCTTGGTGGTACGTAGCTACCGGTATCTGTCCACCTATCTACTTCTACTTATCTACCTACTCTACCACTTCCACCGTCCATACTTTTTAGCGTTTCTTGAATAGCGTTGGCCACGGCTTGCGGGTTCGAGGTTTATTTCATACGTGTGGAGTGTACCGTATTGCCTCTCGCCGCTTGCTGATCAGTGGTCTGAGCCCAATAAGTATACAAAGCTCTTGGTTGGTGCAGGGTATGGGATTCTTGGAGAGTTAAAGTGGGAGTGCAGAGGCGAAAGGGGTAGGTAGGTGGTGATCAACAGTTCTCAAATAGCGTAAACGAGAGCAGAAATCGAATTAAAATTAGAAAATACAATTCTCTGCTCGATTGCTCTTCTCAATCTCAATTGCTCTTCTCAAGTTTCCAGTTTCTCTCCACCACTCTATTCCTCTCAGCATTCAAACACCGTATGCACGCACCCCAATCAAAATTCCACCCAGCGAACACCACCATCCCATCTTCCCAACATCAATTTGCCAGTCCCGCCACCCAATACCAGACGAGCGTAATGATTCCAAGCACTAAATCCCTCGCCCATGATCCATTCGTTCACTCAACCACGAGCCTCCTCCCCTTTGAATTTCGCCATAACATAGCCCGCGGGCCCCTTGGGGCCCTCGGGAGAAGGCTTTCCATCACTCCCACACGAAACTTCCGTCCGAATCCGCGCTTTCCTTTTACCATCTCTAAAGCCACTAAAGAAGTCCTCGTGACGCTCATCAGCAGGACTGGGGGTCATCTCGCCTATCAGCGATTGCTGTACGACCACAACCTTCCTCTCGATCTCGAGCTGTTCCAAGCTCCGGCGAAGGCGATCATTGACTTTTCGGATCTGGGATATCGCCACCATCAGTTTGCGACATGCAAGGATTGGGAGGAAGTATCAGGGGCGGGTTTTAGGGGAGGCGTTACCGAGTTGCGAATGGCGAGCCTGTTTCCTCTTATGGGCGTAGTTTCGGCCGCTTGCTCGTCCTCGGGCTCCACGTCTGCCCTGGACCCTCTCGAAGCTATGGAAGCAATGGATGATCTGGACTGCCGTCTAGAACGTCTCGTATCTAGCCGAGAGATAGGCCTTGGGTCTGTCTGCTCCGTGTGATGTCTGGTGCTGTGCTCTGTTGGCGCTAAGATGTTCAGACTGTATTCCGGAACACATGAATCCCTATTGAACTTGCGTTGCCGAATATGGCTCCAGCCGTGACGCCAAAGGTCATGAATCGGGGGTGCATTGGCGACGAGGGTCTTTTGCACTGTCAGTAAACAATCCTCGTCGTTTGAAGGTATGAAATGGTGGACGCACTGCGATAAAGCATTGGACCTGTCCGAAGATCAGCAATGTGTTCTCAAATGAAGAATTGAAAAACTGACCTGCGCCCATATGAACATATTCACAGACCCCAGGTTATCCAGAGCAACAATAATTCCAAGGGTCGAGATTGCGATCAACTGGGAGAAAAAAAAAGGATCAGCCGCTCTTCAAGTCTCACAGTATGAAAGGGAATCGTACCAAAAGACTACCGATATACACAGCCAACAGCTGCAACTGCATTCTAGGCCAGGCTTAGCATTCATATTACTAGAGTCGATTTGATCTATGTCCTACTTGCGTGACATATCCGATTGTATAATGAGCTTGAGGGGGATAGCCATGAGGAAGATGTTTGTGAAAGCATCTAACTATCACATCAATTAGTAATGGTCAACATCACCCAAAAGTGTTCTTACCGCTCTAAGTAGAACCGTCTCGTCCACCTAAATCCGATTAGAACCTGACATGGAGAGAAAGGCTCAACCCACAGCTTTCTGAACACAGTCAGCAATCCCCTGTATATCCCGAGCTACGGGCAGCTCACAGCACAATCTGGAGCACTTGGGAGCACCCGCCAATAGTCCGAAATGGGTCGACATCCGATGAAGAACGCGAGGAGACACACTATCCAAGTGACAGCGAGAATAGCCGCGAGGATCCTGACACTGAGCATTTCGTTCGTCCGTATCGCCAGTCGAGTGTAGTAGATCAGCTATTCAGCATCAGAATCAGTATCACTCCTCCTGTCATAGCCCGCAGTATCCCGCTCACTATACAGGCCTTCAAACACCACAGATACGTCATGAAGAGAACCCGTTGGACGATCACCAGCTTCGATGCAAGTTCGACTATGGTCCCGATCAGCAAACCCCTTTTCGCATTGCCCGCCCGTATAGAGCAACAGGACAGGGAGGGAGGAGGCCATCCCACTTCGAGCAACCGCATCCTCCTTCAGGTCCTCGGGTTTCGTCTGCGCAACATTGATGCCGTTCCAAGCCTGCCTTCTCATCAGCCACGCTCTGCCAAATCCCCCACCTCCACATCCCTTTCTGCCACCCCTCCCCCCTGCCTATCCCATCCTCAATCTCCTTCTCTTCTTGATATTTGAACTCCCGTTTCGTCTCGTTCAGCCGAGTCAGTCATAGCGGGTACGCACCACAACCGGATACGTCGCCGTCAGCGCCACGTAGACCCCCATACCGCCCAGCATGATCCAGTCGTCCCACAGGAGCTTCTCGTGTCTCAGTCTTCGCAGGAAGAGCCGGAAGAGGATAACTAGGAGGGAGAGGGCCGTGAGGATTACGGCGCTGTTGGCCGTTGCTGCTTGCTCCATCGTGCCCCGATCAGGCGCGGGAATAAATGGAAGGAGGGATACAAGAGGGAGATGCGTTATGGAGGGACGAGGTTCATGATGAGGGTAGAGAGAGTTGCTGGAGGAGAGATTGCTGAATTGTGTAGATGGTGGGTTGCGGTTGGTGGTGGGGAAGGAAGGTGCGTGGGGTGTGAAGACGAGCCTTGATCTGAGGAACTGCGCTGTTGTGGAGAGGTGAAAAGGAAGGTGCAAATAATGCAAATAGAAAATGGATGGAAGCTGAGACTCAGGTATGTTTAATACATATGTGTATAATGCTCGAAGCGCTCGGCTAAAATCAGATCGCAACAAACAACATAGAAAGAAGCGAGAACGTGGGCGACAGGTTCTCTCGATAGCCCAATAAAACTTACCAAGAAACGGAGAATACTCTGAAGTGACAACGTAAATAAGGTAGTTACTTGCAATCTTGATCGGAACAAGAGCAAGCCACTGTGCCAGTCTAGGACGCTTTTGAGACATACCACTCAAAAGTCTCGTACTCCCACGCCGCCTCGAATCCGAGCTGCTCATAGAATCCCCTGATCACAACCCAGTCGATCAGCACACCTTCCAAGCCTCTACTCTTCATATGTTCGATCGCGTTCACCAGCAACGCAAGCCCCACACCTTTCCCTCTCGCCTCTTTGCCGACCTCCACACATGATATCACCCCTGTCTTCTCGCCAGATGGGAGCAGGCTGATGAACGCGACATCTTCGAGGACGACGGCGGACGGCGAGCACATCAGTGTCCAGCCAAGTTGAGCATTCGTTTCAGGATCGAGGGCGACCATGATTTCGTGGTGTTGATTGGCGGCTGCAAGACGCTCGTAGACTTCGATCCAACCCTGCGAAGAGAGTTAAAGACTTGGGGGTTGAAGGGATGGACGAAGCGAGAGGACTTACGATACTCTTGAAGTTTGCGCGCTGTTTTGTAATGCATTCATCGTAGAGCTCTGGCGAGCAGGGAGTGAATTTCATATTACATTTGGCAACTCGGGCTAGGATCTCAGGAGGGGCGAGCTATCCTGTAATATCGCGGAAGAGATCACGGGCCATGTGCTCTGTAGGTTGGCAGAGATCAAGAAGATTTTCAGTAGCTATGTCATATGCTATACGATCAATGGATCATCATCCACGTACTCCCGTGCAGCAAAAAATTCTTCGCCTCCTGCGGAAAGTCAATAGGGACCGCAAGCCAGAATCGAGGAAATACAGATCCGAGACTCTTCAGTACCAACCCTGGGTCAACGCTTCCCCAGCCTTTTCAATAAGAGTGGTTCAAAGTCCCTTGCCTCGATACTCGGGTAAGACGCCGACTGCTGTGATCTTGCCGTAGTTGCTGTCGCCCAAGGAAAAGAATAAAGAGATCACAAATCCCTTCCCATGAATGAAATGGTGGCCGTGATCCTGGCGTAGGTATTGCGCGGGACGCTCGAGTTTCATCGGCCATTTGGGGAAGATTTGTTCCCAGAGAGCCCACAACTGGGGATGTCTTCGTCTACTTCGTTAATGAGCGGATATCATCCTTGGTAGGTGTTATCCCGACAGGGAGTGAGCCCAATGGGTCGGATTTGCCGAAGATAATGTCAACTGCCGACTTGAAAGCTGGAATTGTTGGCTCATAAATAGTGATATAGTTCTTGATTTCATTCTCCTCTTCGAGATAATCATAAGGACCGCAGGTAGCAATCACAATTAGTCTATTCCCTAGTTTCTTCCCAAGGGCGAGTCCATAGTCTTTTTGGTACGGGCTCAAGCTGGCGTTTATCGTTGCAAAAATGACAGTGTCTGCTTCTTCGATAGATTTCTCGGTTTTAGCAGAAAGTGGAACACCATCGTAGAGTCGGACGCCGATGATCTCTGGATCTTGAGCAGAGAGTATGTCGATGTACGTTGCTGGTGGTTCTCTCGTCTTCGCCTCGCCACTTTCAACTGCACCACCCCCAAGAGGCGGGTCTCCAGGACTGACAAACACGATCCTCTTACTGGAGTGAGCCGAGATAGGAAATGATCCGGCAACGCTTCGAACGACAGTTGTACTCTTGGCATAGATCTTTGAAGCCAGTGCAGTTTGCTTGCTAATTCTAGCTTCGGCATCAGAAAGGCTTGATGGAGGAATGGTGGCACTTGAGACGTATTTTGACTTTAGCGCTTCCACCCTTTCAACGGATGCTTGGATAGAGTCTTGGGACAATTCTCCCGACTTCACGGCTGCAATAACTCGCTCAATCGCCCCAACCTGAGCCGACATGGTATGACATATCATGACACAGTCGGTTCCGGCCTAGTTGATGTAAGCCTTCTTTCATGTTATAACACCCAAGGTTAGTTACCTTGAGCGCCATCACAGCACTCTTCTCCGTTCCGAAAGTAGCTCTCACGCCGTCCATTTCCAGGCAATCACTGACAATCATCCCAGAATACTTCATCTCCTCTCGAAGGATCCTAATCGCGTCCGGGTTCAGACTTGCGGGTAGCGTCTTCGAAGAGTGATCATCGCGGAAATTCGGATCTCCAATGCCTGGCATGGCAATATGCGCCGTCATAACAGAGTCCACGTTTTCGGAAACTGCTCTTCTAAACGGCACCAACTCACAGGCGTTCATCTGAGCCTTACTCTTGGTAATAACAGGAAGACCGTAATGAGAATCGACAGCAGTGTCTCCATGGCCCGGGAAATGCTTCCTAGATCACAGGGGAGTTAGTATTTGCCATTTGCGGATGTTTCAGAAAGGGATTTGATATTGCCTCAGGATCATATCCTTTGGCCCCTATTTCCTTACACGCAAGCAATGACGCCTCCTTCCGAGAAACCTTTCATCTGTGCAGATACGAATCTGCCAACAGTCTCTGGATCGTCGGAAGGAGACCGAACTCCAATGACCGGATTCTTGGGCTCTGAATTGACGTCGGCGACGGGAGCGTAGTTGGTGTTGATCCCGAAGCTCCTCAACGTTTCAGCCGTGGCAAATGCGATCTCGTATGCATTCTGGAGGTCCCCAGTGGCTCCCAGCGCCATGGAACCGGGAAGCTGGGCTGCCACTGGGGACTTAATCCGGGTGACCAGCCCATTTTCTTGGTCAATGGCGATGAAGAGTCCTTGTTTGTGACCGGCCTCCTTTGCCGTCTCTTGAAGAGAGTTAGTGAGATTCAGAAGTTGGGTAGCACTCTCGACATTCCGCAGAAACAGGATGACTGCTCCGACTTTGTGTTCCTTGATCAGCGTCTTGATGTCTTCGCTAGCCACGTGACCATGGAATCCCACGATGAAGAGCTGCTTTCTGTTAGCATGACCGTCCACATTTTGCTGTGCGTGTATCTGTCTATTCCACAACCGGAAAGGAAAGGAAAGGAAAGAACAGCTTCTCGGCAAGATTGTAACGTAAACAAAAAAACATACCTGCCCAACCTTTGCCTTCAACTGTTCATCAGTCCAGGGCGTACTCTTCGAGCTCTTCGAGAAAGCCATACTGGGTGAAGCTTTTTGGTCTGTTCTTCTCGATCGTGCCCCCGGAAGAACTTTGGGTACCGGTAGCTCAGCTGTAGAGTTTAGACCTTCCGCTTACCGGTATTCGGACGACGACTGTGTCACGTGTGGTAATGCTGTGGAACATCCGCTGACGTAAGTAACCACAACCAGAGTCTCATTGCTCCGACTACATGTTGACTTCCAAGTGAACGCTCAGTCGCAGCTCAGTCTTCACCTCTCACCTCGAGTCCTCATCGCTATGGATGCCTCTGATTTTGCAGCAAAGCCAGAAGCATATGATGCACTCTCCGCTTACCAGATCAACTAATTTTTCGCCATCTGTAAGCTTTTGAGGAATGGAACCGATCGTTCTGCGGCAAGTCTACTCAACTGCCCTGTCTCTGCTACGCCAGTGCAAGGTGCGACCAGCTACACGGTGTCCGGAGATAAGGATACGGATCAGATCGTTCGGTTTCGGCGCTCCCAGCTACCTGTAGGACGAACTGAGCATGCAAGGAAACTCTATGGAAATTTTGTACCCCAATGCGAGTCCCGCGGCATGTTTGGCCCGGCACACGTCTATGTGGCCAATCTTTTCCCGGGACCAGCTTTTTGTCTTGTGAGGAACCAGTTATTTTCTCGTGATCCTATGATGGAACAACGTCTAGAGCAAATGGTGCAAGACTTTGCTCGGTATGTCAGATGTCACATCTAAAGGAGTTGGTCCTTACATGTCTCGTTAATAATAGACTTGTGCAGATTCTTTGCTTCGGCGTGGACTAACAAATCCGCCCACACATTAGAGCCGCCTCCTGGTTTAATTGTCGAGTACACCAAAATCTAGTATGATGCCTCTCCAGAACTCCCGCCCCAACCTCAAACCAAGCTTGAAGATGTTCGCCAGGAGCTTCCACGCCTCTTCCAATCTGGCTATCCTATGGTTCTCCAACATGATGATCTTGCAGTAAACAACATCCATGTGGATGATGCCTCTGGTTGTATCACAGGAAAGTGTTTACTAAAGGCATTCCTCTTCTTTTATCACTTCAAGTTTCTCCGAAATATCACTAAGCAGATGAAGACTAATTTTCCATGCACATGGAGGAATTTTCGATTGGGCTGATGCTAAGGTCTGCCCGTTCGGCGTGTCCCTTGCGAATATGAAGATCGTTCTAGGTGTCCAGACTAGAGACAAGTGGCACTTTCATCACAACCATCGTCTCCTCCGGGAACTCTTCTGGAAGACGTTCTACCAAGAGACCGGTCCAATTTCAGACGACGATCGCCGTTCAATCGAAGTTGCTAGGCTGTTCGGGTTGTTCCGTGAGTATGGCCTTGAAGAGAAAGAATACGCAATTGCATATCTCTCTTCGCTTTACCGACTTTGATGGGGAATTCTGTACTGGCATAATAGAAAAGAGGGAAGTCCGCTGCGTTGTACTTTGGGGCAGCTCACGGAATCTGCTTTGCTGTGATAACGGTCATGCTTGTTGGACTTGGCTCAGCAGCAGACTACGGAACCTTCGGCCGCTGGCTGCTCCTGGTTCTCACCCTCGTCTTTTGGATCTTTCAACAAGGCTAAATAGCGATTCTTCGCCTGATCAGTGGCTTGCTGCGATGGCATATGTTAGTACTTATTGGCGCAACTGACAATTTATTGAGGAGCTACCCATGTCCTCTATGCGGCGTTCTTCCCGAGACTTGCTCGCTACCAACGACACGTTCGGAAAGCAGGAGAAGAGGACCTCAATGAAGGAAAGATCAACCAAGCCAAACTCGATAAAATTGATAATAATCTGGAACGAAATTATATCAAAAGTATTTCGACGGCGCACTTGAATATCAGATATTTGCTGACCCTGGTCATCGATCTCTCCTTGCTTCTCCTAACGCAAGGCAATGCGTATGCTAATAACTGTGCACCGTGCTTGACCAGCTCTTGTAAGTGCTCCAAACGAGAAACACTGTTGTTTATTTTCTTTGTACTGGGTTGTCCTCGGGAAACAGCGGTTTATTTTACGTGCGGGCTCTGTAACTTGAGCGAAAATGTCTCGGGAAGCCTGCCCCTTTGCTCGAAACGTTTTCTAAAACCACTTTCTTTCAGAGTAACCCGACCAGGCCCCAAGATCCCCAAAGCAAGCAACTATCCACCATCGGGTGGAAGCAGGTGTGGCTTGCTCTTGAAGAGATCAGACATCTACCCCACCCAGACTTTCACCTACCTATTAGCTTTCTTCCTTTTGGTGGATGGTTTCAATACGACGGAGTCTCTCATCGGCATCATTCAGAACAACGTCTTCCAGTTCTCCTTCTTGGAGATTACCTATCTCGGTATTGCTGAAGCAGCCACTTCGATTATATCCACTCTCGAATTCTGGTACATCAAAGAATGCTTCGATATCAAGACGAAGCACATGTTCATTGTCACCAATTTTTCAGCGTGTTCAACCCGTTCTATAGTATGCTAGGACTCTGGAATGATAAGATTGGGTGTCATGACATCCGAGACTTCTGGATCTATCATATCTTGTTTGGCTGTTTCATACCCCGTACTATGCCTATGCTCAGACAATGATAATGTCTGATGTTACCCCACGCGGGTACGAGAATATGTTTTTCGGTCTCTTTGGCATCACGAACCATATTGTGAGTTTCTTTTCCCTCCCGAGACATTCTATGCTTATCCGGATTTAGTCGAGTATCATCGGACCGAATGTAATTCAGGTGAATATCAACTCTTCGAACAACAATTGTGTGGGCTTTTCTTTTCTCTTCATACTGTTCGCAGCAGCAGGCGTAGTCATCATCTGGTTGATATCGAGAAGGGCAGTGAGAGCTGTAGGCAAGATGTTGAAGACAGAAAGCTCATTCGATTGGGCGAGGAGTCTTCTATTACAACCGAGCAAATTGTCGAAGGAGTAGCTCTAGGCGAATTATTACCCGAGGGCAATGGGAGCGGCGACAACGTGGAACACATTGGCGTCAAATTCTCTGGCAAGAAAGTTGACTGAACCCTAGGCAGTCTATGCGGCGTAGGCATAGGCCTTATGTCCCGAAATATTGATGCTCCCGATGGCAAATATTTACTCTGCCTGGTCGCTTGGCTTCGGATGTGCAGAATATTCAAAACAAAGATCAGAACGTGCAATCTTTTGGTTAGTCTTGTTTTTGATCCACTTCTCTTTACCGGGATGAGCCATTTTGTGCCCAAACCTTCTTTCAAAGACACCAATAAATAGATAACTTTCTCCAACGGGCACATTAACATCATGCCATCCGCTCAACCTTCAAGACCATACAACTCAAAGATGGACCACCTTACCACCGAAACCAAATACATTTTCCAGCAATTCAAGCAAGACCGCTCAAGTCTGCTATCACGTGAAAAGGAAGAACGCAGCGGCGCGTAAAGCCTCATCCTTGCCCTATAAAACACCTGCTAACTCACAGCCCAGACCACGAATTCCGCCAATCTCTTTCCCCTACAGCCAAACAAGCATGCGACATAGTCTCCTGCATTCGTCTCAGGGAGCACGAAACGATATGGAGCCGCTCAAATGCTCACGTCGGAGAGGACCCAACCCTCGAATCCGAGGAGCTGTTCCCCGGCATGATCTTTAACTCGGCTAAAAACCATATGGAGAGGACTCAACTATGGAAAATCGTGCAAAAAATGCCTAAAGGCTCGCTTCTGCACTGCCATATGGCTGCCACTGTTGATTTGGAGTGGTTATTCAATGTAGCGATCGAGACGCCTGGGATGGTCATCTCGGCGTCTGAAGCATTAGTCGACGAGGATGCATGGGACAGAGCTGTGGTCAAGATTGAGTTTTCGAAGACCGTCACGCTAGATGACATGAACATCTGGCACTCAACGTATCAAGCTGATTCCAAGCTCCCTCTTGGGACTGTAGCAAGTATGTTTCCAGCTGGTGGGAAAGCCGTGTTCATGAAATGGATGAAGGACCGTTGCTCCATAACTCAGACCGAATCCGTGCAGCACCATCTCGGTGTCGATGATATATGGCGAAAACTACAGTCCGCATTTGTGACGATCACACCCATTGCTTACTATGAGCCGATCACCAGAAGGTTGATCCGGAAGTTTCTGAGAACGGCCTATGAGGATGGGATCAAATGGGTAGAGGTTCGAGGTATGACGAGGAGCTTCAGGCTAGAGGGGCAGGCGGAGTTGACAGAAAATCGGCTGGAGTTGGTGAGAGTCTATAAGGAGGAGATTGACCGATTCGTTTACGGAGCTCCAGAGATCGATCTTGGAGTATACCACGCCCTGGAAGACAGGCTTTTGCATCTCGAGCAGACTATCTGCAGTGAAAAATTTCCGGGTTTCTCTGAGCATTTTGGAAAACTTGCAGAGTTCATCCACTGCCACAGCGGCGCCCTCGGAAATGCGGTCGATGAGGATGCAGTCAGAGTCGTAGAGGGGGAGATCTTCGGCCATCTGACGAAATTGAAACCAGAATACGAGCGGTATTTTGTTGTGGGCGTCGAGGATAGCCCGTCAGTGAAGGAAGCAAAAGCATTGGTGCAGGATGTCTTCCATGTGCTGGCACCTACCACATCAAGCAGCAGCGGAAAAGGTCGGGGCTTTTGGGGCTGCCGCATAATCTGGGATTGCCTCCGTAGCTTCGACGACGCCGCCATCCTGGAAGGCAAGATTTTCCCCTCCCCCCCTCCTCCTCCTCATCTTCCCCCTACCCTCTCTTTTACTCTCCCAATAGCCGTGTTTCCCGCTGACAAAACAAACACAGACATGAAGCTCTGCCTCCAAGCCAAGAAGCTCTACCCGGACACAATCTCAGGCTACGACCTCGTTGGCCCCGAAGACGCAGGCCGCACTCTGCACTCCCTAGCACCGCTCCTCCTCTGGTTCCGCTCCCAATGCGAGCTCCAAAATCTCACAATCCCCTTCTTCCTACATGCCGGCGAGACCACCGGCTCAGGGAACTCTACTGATCAAAACCTGTACGTCCCAGAACCACCCACACCCTCCCAAAGTCCTCCAACGTAAAAAATGACTCTTATATCTACCCAGCTACGACGCCCTCCTCCTCTCCTCTCGCCGCCTCGGCCACGCATTCTCGCTATACAAGCACCCCCTCCTCATCGACATGGTAAAAGAGAGGCAGGTGCTGGTGGAATGCTGTCCCATCTCCAACGAGGTCCTCCGCTACACCGCAAGCATCACCTCGCACCCCCTCCCGGCTCTCCTCTCTCGCGGCGTGAAAGCCAGTCTATCGAATGACGACCCCGGGATGATGGGCCAGAACAGCGGGGGCTTGTCCCATGACTTCTGGCAGGCGCTGCAGGGCTGGGATGATCTCGGGTTGGCAGGACTGGTAACACTAATTTTTTCCTTTCCTTTCCTCCCCTTCCTGAACATTTCCCGGTCGACCTAGTGATTTTGGACCAGTTTCCCTCGGTCTCACATTGCTAACTATTGCGCATTGCGTCGGTCACAGGCCTCCCTAGCCCAAAACTCCGTGCGCTGGTCCGCATTCGAGGACCAGTCCAACGACGAGTGGCACGCCGACATCACCTCCCCGGGCGGGCTTCGCGCGCAGAGAATCGAGGCCTGGGACGCCGAGTGGGAGGACTTTTGCCAGTGGGTCGTCGACGAGTTTTGCTAATCCTCGGCTCACTCAGATGGTCCTCCTTTCCATCCTTTCAGTCTTATTCGGTATAAGCGATTGATTGCGTTGTGTTGCGGAAGCGAGTTTGCGTTGCGAACCGAGTATGTTTTTAGATTGTATTGGAAATAAACTTCATAACGACTAAAGTTATAATATTGAGAATTTTAATATTCCGAAGGAGCTTTTTTACGTTGATTTATGCATTCAGGGGTTTTAGTAATATAGCTCTTTTTCGTTGTTGGCATTTAAATTATTCATCGTTGAAAAAAAATTAAAGGTTTATTATTTGATTTTCTATCGAAGAAAGCCGAAGATGGCGATTTGTATTGGGAATAAATCAATAACGAATAAACCTATCATGATAAAAAAATAGATGCACGGGTCGGCTTAAGCGAACTTTATGAGATATGTACAAAGACAATATTATATGTCTCTATCATGTTATGAAAGTAGTATTCATTATGCAAAAAGTAGGAATTAAAGAGCGAAAAAGAGCGAGGATAAACAAATAAGCGAACATTCAAGAATATCAACAACTTTTTGATCCTGTTTATAATATAAATAGATAGCGGGAAATGCCCGTCGCTCTACGAAAGCGCAATATCGCTACGCTTGTAAGCCTGCGATTTACTAACTTCTGAGTCCGTGCAGTCTTACCTTTTTGGTTGATCTTGTTGCTTTGTATACGACTCGAGCCGAGATGGTTATTTTAACTGCCGCCACTGCTGGCCGACTAATTATCAGTATTTATTTCTAAGGAAATGTCGGTAAAGGCATCAAGCTTGCGGTTACCTTTTACGGAAAAAGTCCATGCGCGCGGGAGGACTACCATTATGAATACCGAATATCTCGCTTATTACCTCTTGACCAGTTACCTATGCGGGCAGCGCCGAAATCAAAGTCTTTATAGATAAATATGACTATTATATCTACCCGTGAGAAGTGCTTTGATATATGGTAAGAAGCGATCAAGGGTCTTATGCGGGTGGGAATTGTAAGAAGTGTTTACGAGGTGAGAAGTGCTTATAGGATGAGATTCGGGGTGTGAGAAATTATCCAGAGGCGATCGGAGGAGGCATTGCTGGCCCGCACATAGGGCTGAATACAAGCTGAACGACTGATACTGTTATTAAGAAGAGAAGAGATGGATTGTCTTGTTCCTCCGTACGGAGGCAACGAGAAAACGATGTATTTCCTGCAAGATATGGTCCGTGCACCTAGCGTTCGGCAAATATTAGAAGGGGCTTATAGAATACAATGTAATAGTCAGCGCACTGACTATTAAAGCATCGGAGTTTTTCTACTAGTACTCCTAACTACCCAAGGCGCGAAAGGGATCGCGAGATTCGAAGATAAGAATCCCATCATCTTGATAGCAGTGTCTGTCTTGCTATAATGCGCCATCCTGGCTCATTCTTATATGTTTCTGCTTCAATACCAGCCCGCCTTTTGGAGCTATAACTTTAAAGACTTCAAGGTACACTCATTTCTGGTCCTTATGATGCCGAAAGGGCTTTTAGCTTACGCGTTCCTTCCGAGTAAGTAAAGTCGCAGGTCAAACGAAACCGCTTTTCATGTTCATAGCAAAACATCTAGAGGGGGGTTTTTTTTGTGTGCATTTACTTCCACCAATTCGTATTAAGGACAAGCAAGCTCTGTGGCTTTGCTCGAACAAGGAAGGCCTATCAGATTTTAAATATCAATTTTTTTCTCCTTACCGCTTTTCCTTTTCCCTCGCCTTTGGCATTTCAATTTTTTCCAGTATTTTCTTTACCC